TGGTAGGGGTTGGACGGGGTGGTCGCAGGGTGGTCACGGGGTGGTCGCGAGGTGGTCGTGGAGCCGCTGCGGGACCGCCGCGGGGCCGTCGCGGGCTGTCGCGCGGCCATCGCGCGGCCGTCGCGGGATCGCCGCGGGGTCACCGGTCCGCTCCTCCGCGGCCGGACGTCCGCAGACGTCCATGACAAGATGACAAGGTGTTGTCGACTGCGCACCGATCAATAGCGAGGTTACCTTGCTGGCGGCCCGGCGGGCGGCGCCGGCCGGCCCGTCAGCGACGAGCACAGGTCTTGAAACAGCGCCGGACGCCGGCAGCGCGCTGAGCAGCGACCATATACACATGTGCTCGAGCGACCGCGGCGCGGGGCGCGCGCGAGGGCCCGGCCCCGTCTTAACGTCCCGTCGGTTCTTCCGTCTCCGCGCACGGCCGAGACGCTCGCCGACGTCGCTGACCACCACCGTGGCGACGCGTGACATGGAACGGTCGCGCAAGCGGCAAGCTCTCGCGTCCGCCAGCGGCGCGCTGGCGACGGCGTGGCGGCGGCACGGGCAGGACGCCGGCGGGCGCGCACGGCGGGCCCGCGCACGCAGGCAGAGCGAGCGGGGCCGCCGGGCCGCGACAGGCCGTCAGCCGCCGGTCAGGCCGCGTCACATAGCAGCAGAGCGACAGCGCCAGCCACGAATGAGGGCGGCGCGGAGCGCGGTCACCGACCGCATGCAGAGGAGCATGGCGCCGGAGCTCGGGCGAGGCGCTGTGCTGCACTGCCCTTCATGCCCGGGCGACAGACAGGCGACGCCAGATACCCCCAGCAACCGAGTGCGTCATAAAGTCCCAAACGCGCGTACGCACTTACGAAGGCACTTACGAAGGCACTCACGCACACACGTACGCACGTACGCAGGCACGCAGGCACGCAGGCACGCAGGCACGCACGCACGCACGCACGCACACGCTCACACCCATATATATATATATATATATATATATATATATATATATATATATATATATATATATATGATATATGCAGAGGCGTCAACAGAGGGTGAGCTTCGACGAACAAACATGAGCGACGGGCAAGAACTGACGGAACGCACATCACAGCACGAAAGCACCTCATGTAACACTAGTAGGTTGACAGTCTCCGCCACAAATACTCCTCAGCGGTCAGACAGACACTACACATTATGTCAGAAGCATAAGAGCGCCATAAAAGGAATAATGTGACAGCCACTGCACAGTGATAATTTGTTCGTCCGTTGCACATTAAGGTGTCGCAGATAAGCCAGGGTTCTGGTACGATAAACAAAAACAAAAACAACAGAAAAGGACAATGGACAGCTTTTGGCCGATACTGCATCGCATAGCTTGCAGCCAGTCTGCAATGATGGATCTTAAAACGGAGTTCACTCAACGACCCCCGGCAAACAAACCCACCGTCCCTGGTCTACTGAGCGTCATTTGGCGAGCCTTTCTTACAAGAACGTCATGCTTCCGACCTCGCAAGTTACAAAGGTCAAAAAGCGGCTGCCATGCAAGGCAGCCATGGAGATGAAACGTAATGTGAGTGAATCAGATTCTGTTCCTTAACCCAAATTATAATTTATACTTAAAATTAATGATAACAGCATCACCGAAAATAATGTGTGTTTACATTCCTTGGCAATTGAGAGAACAGTACCATATCCAAGCAATGCTTCATACAGCTGCCCACATAGGTATGTAAGCAAGGGATATCGACGTGTTTCAATGTTTCATACAAATACATACACTTTGACAGCGTTCCATACAAATGCCCTGGAAACGTAAGCAGCGATATATCGACAGAATACGCCAGAAAACATAATGCCCAGCAAACAAGACTGAAATTATAACCATAAATAAAGCCACCACACACATACACACATCAGAGAAAACACCGCGATTCCAGCCAAGCAAAACTGAAGCCACAAAGTCCAATATAACACACTTTACATGCTGTACACAAGGACGGCAGATAACCAGGCTAAGAAAACAGCCTACTGACGCGAACGCGACATGGGGGCCCAAAAGCGTAACATTTAGCAGAAACAGGCTTACCCATTTGCAGCTCCAGTTGGCCTGCTGCAGGCGACATCACAGAGTTGTTAGCTCAGTATTGACAACATTTTTGGAACGCCACGTGCACGAGCGATGCCAAGCGCCTACCGTTAGGCGATAGCTGTTATAATTGAAGCTGGTATCACCACTGCAGGTATTGCTAACTAATAATGCTCCTCTCTACATGGTGTATATGCTTTTCTGCCACTTGTGATAGAATCTGGGCTGCATTTGGGAGTTGTATCCACTATTGTCAGAAGAGGAGAGTGGAAGGACGCGAACCACTCAGGTGCACTTTCCGTCAGCAGTGCTCAAACAAATGCTGTTGGCTGCAACAGTGTAAAGCAAAAATTGAGGATCATACATAGTTTATTATGTTCCTAAAGAGTACTCAAATAATTGCTGTATGGAATCTCGCAAAATGAAACCAACGTCTATTTGTTTCACCTGTCGATCAAACGTGGCAAGCAAATCAAGTCTTGATTTTTTTAACAGCCCAAGCATTCTGAATGGATGAACTTCTTGGGGTGCAACAGGCCTTACATGCAACCAACTTTCTATTGGAACCTTCTAGGTGACTCAATTGTTTCTTAAAGTCTACTCAGCAACCTCACTTGGCAAAGATTATGGAATGTGAATGAGAAGTAAATGCCACAGAGCCTTGCCTTGTCAATGATCTACATCAATCAGAGTCATCTAGTCTTTATCACCTGCCCTTGGTCATGGTGACCTACTGACCTTCATCTCCAGAGCCATCTGGGTCGCTGCAGCTGTTGTTGAGGAAACGCACGCTGACTGGGGGTGAGGAGGCTGACTTCTTCATAGAGGCAGACCTGGCTCCCTGCCCCCACCAGGTCAGCTGATGGGATCCTCGGTCTGTGGCTGAAGAAGGGGATGGCTCACACAATGGGACCCTCTCCATTGTGGCTGAAGACAGGTGGTAGGTCAGACAACAGCCTCAGTCCGTGGTTGGAGAAGGGGACAGCTCACACACTGGGACCCTCTCCATCATGGCTGGAGACAGGTGGTAGGTCAGACAACAGCCTCAGTCTGTGGTTGGAGAAGGGGACAGCTCACACACTGGGACCCTCTCCATCATGGCTGGAGACAGGTGGTAGGTCAGACAACAGCCTCAGTCTGTGGTTGGAGAAGGGGACAGCTCACACACTGGGACCCTCTCCATCATGGCTGGAGACAGGTGGTAGGTCAGACAACAGCCTCAGTCTGTGGTTGGAGAAGGGGACAGCTCACACACTGGGACCCTCTCCATCATGGCTGAAGACAGGTGGTAGGTCAGACAACAGCCTCAGTCTCTGGTTGGAGAAGGGGACAGCTCACACACTGGGACCCTCTCCATCATGGCTGGAGACAGGTGGTAGGTCAGGCAACAGCCTCAGTCTGTGGCTGAAGAAGGGGATAGCTCAGACACTGGGACCCTCTCCATCATGGCTGGAGACAGGTGGTAGGTCAGACAACAGCCTCAGTCCATGGCTGAGGAAGGGGACAGCTCACACACTGGGACCCTCTCTGTCATGGCTGGAGACAGGTGGTAGGTCAGACACCAGTTTCAGTCTGTGGTTGGAGAAGGGGACAGCTCACACACTGGGACCCTCTCCGTCATGGCTGGAGACAGATGGTAGGTCAGATAACAGGCATTCACCTGCCTGCCTCTTTGCATACAGCATTTCATGCCAGTATTAGAGGTCAGGGGAGCATTCTACATGATGACTGGCCATTCACATTATTATATGAGGTATTACTCTGACAAAAATAAAACTTTAAAAAATATCTATATTTTTGCCTGCAACTGTATCTTCCAAAAACAGTTCCTTAGGATCCATAATCCACCCTGTGATCCCAAGATGTAGTATTTCTATCTTGTCATTAAAACTTTCTTCAGGATCTAGGACCTTTAACAGGTTAGATCTGGGTATATGTGTGTCAGTCATATCCCAACCAACAGATCATCAAACAAAGGGAAGCTTTATCACATTATAGCTCTGTTGTACTGCATGCAAGTCCTATGATGATCCATGACACATTTGACACTAAGTCCTATCCCTAGTTCTAGCCCCTTGTCCTAGTTCCCTGAAATGCTGCATGCTATGCTTTATCTCTTACATTCTGCAAGAGCTTACTGTAATTGCTACCAATCAGTCATCTTCTTAACTATGCAAATCAACATTTGTCTACATAGTTGGAACATGAATTCATGCCTATCATCATTTATAAATAATGTCAAAACAAGTTCATGTCACTGCAAAATCATGGAGATCAGTTTTGCACACTATTGCTGAATGCAAGAGAATTTCTTTAAAAAATGCTTTTAGGGCATATATGATGCAATTATCTGCCAAACACCAGCATTTAAGAATGCTATCTACATTTTGCAAGAAAATTGAAGTTGCTGTTATGATATATCCAGCCCTTAAGATATTATAGGTCTGCAAAAGAGCACACAGCAAGAACAAACCTGGTATTTCTGATGTGCTTTCAAGATGAGGCAAAACATTGTGTGTATGTCATTAAAATATGTGTATGATTCTGGTGAAGCTTGGTGCAGATGCAGGATAATTTTTAGCATTTATTGAATGAATGTATGTGTGGCTGGAGTAAGGATGTCAATGCATTACACCAGTCAAGCAAATGATGCCAATAAGATAACATCCTCCTTCATACTATCTTGCTACAGAGCATCTAGCTAGCCAGTGCTAGAGCTTTTAATGATCTGTATGATATAGATGAATACCCATGTTCCTCTTGTTGACAGAACAGGATTAACCTTATTTGCTGAAATGTCTGGGAAATGGGCTGCAGCTGCATCTTGATCATCAAAATGGTATATGTGATGACATGCTGCCTGTTCTGACCACAGACATCACAGGTATCATACCACAGGTGGATAGATTGCTGATAGGTACCTGCTTTCCAGCAGGGTATGATTAGCAACCTTCTTGTGCACAGGGGCTACAAAACAGTTATCTAATTAAGACACAGAAAGTTACAGCTAAAACTGCTACTGCATGTGCAGGCTACCTAGCATTACCTGACATGTCTGATGCAGGCAAAACATGTGCAAAATTTCCTGAGATGCTGTGGTAATTATGTGTGAAGCCATATGCATGGATCATATGGATAGCTTTGTAGGCCAGCAGCACAGATATTTGTTCATGCCAGTGTCTTAGTATAAAATATTACAATCACAGCAAGAGCATAAAATATGTAGGCAATATTTAGGCAATTAAGTGGGACTCTTGGGTTTCACGTCATATTTGGGGTTATAAATTTGTTGGCCTTAGGAGAAAAATCATAGGCAATCACATTTAGGTCCTTTATTGTAAATCCTTGTATCCTTCTTAGAAAAGGATTGTTTCTTTCCTTTTATGAAAGGTCATATACCCTCATCATAGCAAAGTGGCAGCCTGCAATGGTGCCAAAGCAGCTTCTGTACTAAACTATGTTTGCTCAGCACATCCGACCTTTCCTACCCAAATTGGTCCACCTATCTACCTGTATGTGTACCTCGACCTGACAATTAGCGCAGGCTGGTGGCTCCCACTCCTTCCCGTCTTTGCCTGCGGCCTCTCGACTTTTGCGTTTGCGGATTCAGATAACCTATTGAAATACAAGAATTAACACAAAACGAAGGGTGTGCCTCCACTAACCTTGAACCCAGTCCTCGCAGCGGCAGCGCGCGACGAGTCAGGGAGTGAATCGACAGAAGCGGCCGCCACCAACCGGGACGGCTCCGCGCGGCTCATGAAATTCGACACACAATTTGCGCACAGCGATCTTTGTTTACGTGCGGTGCGTGCAGTTCATGGGTCAGCTGTTTGGCGAGCTGCCCGCGTGCGTTGCGTAGCGAGCAGTTTTTCAAACTCTAGTGTTAAATATTTTTGTTAGATGTCAGGAGCATCACTACCCCTCGAGCCAAGGTCGCTGGACGGCGGGTTGGCCAGCCTGCATACATTCCAGCGGACCGGAATCGGTGCCTGGGGGCAGGCGCCATCTGTGAATCACGCGCCTGGTGCGGCGCGCCCGGCTCGGCGTGTAGCTGGATCCCGTGGTTGCTGGCGGTGCTTCGAGCCACATCGGAGCGTCCTCTCGCTGACGACGTAAGTTGGCGGCTCCTACTTGGAGCTTCACCCGGGCCTGGTGACGTCATCGTGCTTCGCATCTCGTCCTCGTTGTGCAATAGCGGTAAGTCTTTGTCCGTTGTTTCAGAAAGCAACACGTGTCTGTGGACTGTGGAGGCGTTTGGGGAGTACCCGCTTATATGGCGAGGTCCTGTTCAAATGTGAAGTCAGAGCTCACGTGCCAGCCATAGCGAGCACGTCGCTCGGTGTTGTCGCCGATAATCGCAATTTGGGTGTTGAAATAGGAAAACCGTCCTCGGTTTGACCCTCCGACCCGTGCGCGAGCACTACCGCCAGTAGACGGGCCGCAAACGCCTTGAAGTTCGCGACTTGCCTGAACCTGTCGACGAATCTGCCGTTTCAGCGGCCGTCGTGAGGTCCAGCCATGCCCCGCGAGGACTTCCTGCGCTCCAACGGGGCCGACCCGTCCGAGGTGGAGACGTTTGACCCGGACCTGGGGCCGGGCAGGCCGGCGGCGCCCCGGCGTCCGCGCAAGAAGTGGAAGGAAGTGGCCGACACGCGACCGATTGCCGCGGCTCGACCCGGACGTGTACAGCACCAAGAAGTCGGTGGCGCAGGGCTTCATGGACGTGGCGCTGCTGTCGGCCAACGCCGACCAGCTGCGCACGCTGCTCAAAACGGGTGACTCGAACTCGCCCTTCTACGTCGCCTGCATGGTCTTCATCTCGCTGAGTCTGATCGTGCAGGTCATGATAGCCGTGTGCCCTGCTGGTGAAGATGCGCTACAACATCAACCGACCCGACCACTTCCGCAGGGCCGAGACCCTCAACAACATCTGCATGATCGCCTCCGTCTTCCTCACCACCTTCAACGTGCTGATCACGTCGTTCATGGCGGAGGTGCCCGGCGTGACTGAGGTGCTCTCCGTGAACGAGGTGGAGACCCTGCCGAACTTTCCGCGTGACGCTATCGACTCGGCGGAGCCGGTCGTCGGATGACGGTCATCGGTCGGTCATCCGGCCGGATGACGGTCATCCGACCGTCATCTCACCTCTGGGCCGGTCGTTGCCGTGGTGATGATCTCCCGCCCCGGACGGACGCGTATGACAGGCAGCTGTGTAGAGCGTGGGTGGGTAGACTAGACGTGCGTCACGTGTGCCGCTTTGCGCTGTGACGTCACTACGGGCGCAGCCCCCGTCAGAGAGAGAGGTGCCCGTGGGGTGTAACCCTGCCGCTGTCACTGCGTCATTCGGATGGGGGGGCACTGGCACAGCGCAAACGCATTACGTCGGCTGAGTCACGGAGCCGGGAGCGAGACACGCGGGATTTTAGCTGATGACACCCTGACGGCACCGGCAGCGGCCGTGCTCCGCCGACCGCCGACACACCGCCCTGGCGGCGTATGACCCAAAAGGGCCGAGCGACCTGGTGCCGGGCGGGCTACTTTCGCGGCATTGATCTCGGGCCGCCTGGACGGACCGCAGCGGGCCCATGATGCAACGAGGCCCGGATCCGGCGTTTCGGTTGTGACGTCACAGACAAGCGGCCGCTGCGGCGCGTCTGCCGGAAAGTTCCATTTGCCGAACAGGAGTCCGGACCGTCCCCGCGGGTCGCTGAGCGCCGGGCCGCCGGTCCGCGCCGCCGAAGCCTCTCGAAGCGCGCCGGCGAAGTCCGCCGACCCGGCTGGCTCCAACTGCGCCATTTGGACGTGCGCAGCGAGTGTGCTCGCGGCGGGATGCGGCGGAGAAGCTGACATCGCCGCCACGCGCCAGGGCGGGGGTGGCGTCAGCGATGTGTCACGAGATGATTGCTGACTCGGATTGGGTCGGATTGATTGCTGACTCGGCGCGTTCGGATAATGAAACTTGAAATGAAGATCAGTTTGGACTACAGTGGGCTAAATCCCGCGTATTTTCAGATGGATGAAACGATGGCGTCATGACCTTGTTGTGTTTGTCTTGTTATGTCATTTTGTTATGTTTGTGCAATTGGATGTTGCAATATATAATGGCTCCAAAAGGTTCATTGGTGCCTCCAGCGTTTCGTACTGGTTCTCATGGTGGCATCCCGTGCAGACGTTTAGGCATGAATATCCGTGAATCGGATGGTAATGGCATTCGTCAAGAAATGACAATCGGTAATACGCATGTCGCTAAATGCGCCAAAGACTAGTCAGACTATTACGATCATCCGTTGCATCATAATCACTGAGAAGAAGATTGGCGCGAAGGGAGTTGCAGCACACCGGAAAAATAAACGCATGGCTGAGTCACTTGACAGCAAACACCATTCACTGCCGCTGGTATCTTACTAACGCGTGTCCAGTGTCCACTGGTACAAGGCTTTCACAAGCAGTGCTCGAGGATAAACGTACTGGGACTCGTCATTCGGCTTTTCTGGGCAGCCTTGACTTCCTTGAGTTACAGTTGATCTGTTTTAGTTCTTTGAGTAACAGTTCACAGAGTTAATTCGACCATCACTGCACTTGGGTTTGGGTCTCATTGCATATTAAAACGAAATTTCCAGCTAGATCATGGATCCTGCAAAAGCTGTTTAGCAGGTCCCCGCTGGGCCTCGGAGATTTAAGGGTAGGGACATGGTCGTCTACTGGAATCTGTGAGCCTTACGCTGTGAACCTTACAGAAAGACAACTCAACAGGGCTGTGTTACCGTGATGCTGGGCTCCGGGAGATCCACCGAGCTAAATCATGCAGTCCAAAACATCGTACTGAATCACAAATTGTTCTGCCGTTTAGTCAGAAAAATTACCACAAAAACACAAATTCCAGAGGGATAAGACTATGACTGTTGTCTAACCTATATGCAAGATGCTCCTCACATACGCACACAAGTTACGTAATACCTGAATAGCTCAACAACTAAATACCTTGTTGAACATACCATAATCGCATACCTTTGTAATGAGTGAGACAGCTGATTTGGGAGCAATCGCTAAGATATCATGGATAGTGGGAATGGGAGAAAGTTATTAAGCTCTTTAGAGCATCTTATCTCCAGAACCGTTAGCAATTGACCAACACCGCCTGAAAGTCCTCTTGATCGGATCCTAAACGGAGCTTATCCACGGGGCAAAATTGGACCAGAGCATCACACTCACATTTAATGTGCGCTTCTCTTTATCAAACACCCTGGCAAAACGTTGGATCCTGCAAAGTTAGGGGGTCTGTCCCCGTCCTTCTTGTGTCAGCGCCCATGCCTACATTACAGTCATAGCCAGGGCTGAGTCCAAGATCCACAAACCAGTGCCAGGGTTTATCTCGGAGTTGGCACAGCTTCCTCACCTTCCACGCCATGGTAGCGTCTGCTTTTTGCCAGATGTTTCCAAGGCACCCCAGCTCGCCCGCCGACAGATGCCACGATAGTGTACGGTGGAGGAAGCTCTCCCCAGACGGTTGATGCCAAAGAGGACACATTTTCATGCAGGCAGGGGCCATGCATGTGCAGTGACGACGGATATTCTAAAAAGGCGCACACTGAAAAAAGGTTTTAAAATCCTGAGAAACGTTTTTACGCCATGTGTTTTACTCCTCTTTGAATTTACCGCAAAAACAACGGCCAACGTGAGACAATGATTCAACGCAAGTGCGCCAAAGAATTCCGTAGCGCAGTGTACGGTGACTGTTTTGAAATGGTTACGCGAACTGAAAACACACCAAATCCGTTGCACGACAGATATGTAAAGTGCCCAGAGTGTGTGCAAGACATGTGGTAGATGCTGAATCGTCTCATGGAATTCTTAGGTGCACTCCAATTCGAGGGCAATGATGCAGGCTTGCAAAAAGTGCGTTAGTTGAAGAATGTTGCGTGCTATCCCTGAAGAGCATGTCGATAACTGGAAGGACAGAGTAACCAAAGACTGATGACTGAATGTGTCGTCAGTGGTCGTCTTAAAAAGAGGCGTGACCAAACGCTTTGACACGTATCGCAAGTCGATATACCAAAAAAGCGTTGAATGTCGGTGTTTCGGAGTATTGAGTTGGGAATTCACGTGCTGAAAATAGTCGTCATTCACAAGGTCAGGAGATTGCGGTTCGACGATATCAAAACTCATCGGTTATATTGAGAAAAACCGACGTTTTGAAGCTGTGCTCATGGCCAGATTTCTTGACAAAGTCCAACACCACTGCAAGACTCCTTTCACATTGGAACACACCGAATAACTTGTGTTGATGCCATTTGTCGACACGCTTTTTGTGGTACAGCCGGGTGGAAGATACACCGCCAAGCTGTTCTTTTTTTAATCGTCCCGTCCGCAATGCGTTTAATCCGTCCCGATAATCCAGCTGGTTAGAGCGCCTGCCTTCCGGCACTGGCGGGGTGGGTTCGAGTCGCCTTTGACTTGGCTGCTGGTGTCCGGCTGGGATAGCCTGCGGCTGGTGGCTGCGCTAAGGGTCACGCAGTGTCAGAGGGCAGGACAGACCGTGCTGAGCATTGCGGCACGTTAACCTTTCGCCGTGAAGTTCTGCCACTGACCCGGAATTTTACGATTGGGTCAGGGCTCACCGAAAGAGCACCGCTTGGCGTGGGTGCTCGTCCCAGAAATGCATCCAATCAAAAAGTTCGGAGAAAACTTTAGAAAACTAATGACTGCCCCAATAATGCTGCATTACAATTCCGTATGCCCCATGCCTGCTGAGAAAGCAGTCCTTTTACATCAGGTGGGAAGAGCAGTGTATATGTATTCTGATCCCCATTCGTGCGAATGTAGACGTGCTAAGGACTTCCTTCCTGTGGGAACGGATTCTTGAAGCACTGAGTGAGGTCTCCCAATCGTGCCGGAAGCCTTTTGTTTAACCATGCAGCAGGTTCACAAAATATCACAGAAGGGTGAACTTAACAGATTGTGCCTGTGTGAAATATACAAGGTAGTCCAGATTAAAGTTAACTCACGTTTTAATCAGCAGTGGCAAGTGTATTTCTCGCACAATCCAGACTGCGCCTGCATTCGAATAAGCATTCAGTGGCATAAACGTGACAAAAACAATGGCAGACGTCAGTGATCCCAAATTCGTTAAGTTATAACTAAAAAGAAGATGTCTCTTTGAGGAAAAGACCGGGTATCTTGTCCACACCATCTCACAGTGCTTCACCGCCACCGCTCTGATAACTTTCTGCTCGGCCATGGGCGACTTTGCAGGATCGATGGGTACGAGGAGTGGCTCCAGCGGGATAAAATGACACTGCACAAGGCACGGGCTTCACTGAAATAATTCAAAATAATTTCGCTAAAATGCACCCCGGCTTAGACTGCTTTGACGTGGCCTTTCGCTCGCCCGACCTGTCGCCACTGAACTCCATGCTGGGGTTAACCTCAAGAACCACCCCCCATAAGCCGACGAGCCTCCCAAAGGCCAAGACCACCCTCAACCTTAAGATGGAGCGCATCACCGTGGACGATGGGACCGGGCAGCCGAACGCCTGCGGCGGGTTCAGCTGACGCGCACTCTGAACTGTCGAGGGCTTTCTGGAGCACCTTTTGTTGTCACCATTTGACGGGTGTGGAGTCACACAGATACACATTGGTCAGTGGAGTCACACAGATACACATGGATACACATACACATTGACACAGTGGAGTCACACAGATACACATGGCAAAATGGTCAATGGTTCAGATGCACATTGGTTGCGATGAACTGAGTTATGTGACTATGCGGTTTGCATGGTTCAATTTCCGACGGCTACGGCAAAGGCGACACTGACTGCTTGCCGGCCAACGTGTAAAACGCCTATAGACCGGGCAGCATTGAGATCCCTTCATGATTTGTGGACGGCACGTTTGTAGACGCTTTAAAGTTGGCTTCACGTCTGTACCTTGCCGGAATTTGACTTCAGTCCTAAGAAACGTAAACAATTATGGCTGGTATATGAAAACGCTCAATTTGTTTCCGTCCTGCCTTTGCGGCTTTTTGTGACTTAAAATTTTACATTTCCCATGTTCACCGAATGTGCAGATGAAGAAGTGTCGGTATTTCAA